TTGATCTTTGTTCTTGATCATATAAGCTAAACATGATTGGAAATGAGCCTGTACTGTTTGGTAATGATTGGGTAGATTAAGACGAGTAATTGATGTTCAACATAAGTTTGGTAATGAAAATTTCCTCGTGGACTGGGTTATGTTCTCATTGATTTCTTTTTTGAGATGAATTAGGATCCTCTCTTGTTCTTCTCGTCTAGTTCCCATCTTCAAATTCGGCTCTACATAAAGGTATGGACCTTGGAGAGGATCTGATTCCTTCGGAGACGTGCTGTTATTAGATTTTTGCGTGACATTTGATGGAGACTTGTGTATTTATGTTGACGTTGCTTTGTGATGAGTGCTTTGCTATGTGGAATTGGCGCCCTTTTTTCTTTTAAGATTTCTTCTTTGGTACTTTTGGATGGATAATGATGCCTATTCCTGTTGATATTTGGCCTTTTATTTGATGACGCCAATGTGTGAACATTGACTCGTTGGTGGGTTGTATAAGTAAAGTGGTGGTTCGGTTCATCTATCCCTTTGCTTGGTTGAGGTTTTGTTGATTTTCTGCTGTTTACTCTTCTGAAATGCCGGTGTATCTGATCTAACCGCCTCACATAATTCATTATTTGAGATGGTTTGCTCTTATGTATGAAGAATGAGTGTCCTTGTACTCTACTAGGGATTTATTGATCCATCAGAATTAGAAATCTTCAAAGTCTTTGAAGCTTTTAATAAATCTTGTGAACTAAATCTGCCTGCTTGCTCAGTGGACAGCTGAAATTGGTGTGTGTGGACACTAGACGTGTGTGCCTCAGCCTGGTGTATTGCAATTGAATTGCTGCTTTTAAGTAATGTCGGTTGGCCTGATCACGTGTGGTGTGACCACAAGACATTTATGGCTTGAATGATTTATCATTTATGTCTATAAGTCTGAGTGTGCCCTTCAGCACATTACCTCATCTGCCCCAAAGTGAATGTATTAGAGTACATGTCCTGCATTTGCTATAAGCCTATAAGATCTCTTTGAATAGTAGCTGGACGCTGGACTACTCCCATACTTACCTGACTATTCATTTTGAATTGTCGCATCAAGGATTACTTCATTATACAGCCTGTTATACCTTTGTTTTTCGGCAAGGGAGAAGAAAGGGAGGGGAGTAATTTTGAACAAACAGCCACTGTGATTTGGAATTCCTCTCTTTGGTTTTGCATTTGCTGGACTCCTGGATTGCTTCGATTTCAGTTTTTCTGTTCGTTACAGCTATGATTTCTTCTATTATTTGATATGAAATGCTCGACAACCTAACAAAGGTTACACTTGGTAATACCTTTATATGGTACACTATTTGGTGAAAGTGGCATAGAGAGAACAAACACTTCCTGACTACAAAATTTGAGCAAAGATAAGATAAGACTCCATAAGAGTTTGTGAAGGGAAAGAAGTAGCCCCTTGATCTGTTGGAATTTTAATTCTTACAGCTTGCACGTTTTTGTATAACCATATCTACAAGACTATAACAAATCTTCTGACCAACTAATATGGTCCTGAAGGTTCTCCAAATTTAACACAAAGTCAAACTACATCTCCCAAACTCTGGTTTTTTCTGTGTCATTGACTTTACAAAATTGATACATGTATTCGAGGGAGTTGCCACAAATGGCACCATTCCCGTATGCTGCTATAAGAAGGATAGAAGAACCAGATCTTGCAAGCCAGTTCCAGCCAAGTGAAAAAGAAGGTAGGCTGCCACATTGTCTTTATATTAGAGTTAGGAGCCTGGAACAAAGGTGCCCACATATCCAAATCCTGCCACGAAAAAGGCGAAGGCTTGAAAGAAAAGGTAGAGGAAGAAGTGGTTCTTTCCATATAGTAGGTCGTAGCAGCCACAGAAGAGGAGGTAAGCTCCAACGCCGAGTTCTAGTATATGCAGCCTATTCAAATGAGTGAAAATGAGAGTGAAATCAGTTTGTGCATTGGGTAGATAGTCCATTAGAAATAGCTAGGCAATGATATCATAAAGTTTTTGTCAGTGAGGTTATACCTGTCTCCAAACCTAAAACGAGGTTTCCTGTATCCTTTAATCACCGATTTGAACTTGAGAGCATCACCAAGTTTCTCAGTAACGATCCACTCGTTCACTCGCACACCCTCCATCAAACCAATAAAGGTAGCTTTGGTACGGTGCAATGACATAACATTTTCAAACAGAATCCAGAAAACTAGCAGATGAAGTGATCTGCAGTAAGATATAAGCATCAGGATAAAATTTGGGAGTGTAAGCAAAACGAAACGAGATAGATTAAGAATGAGAGGAGGATTGAGATAAACCTTGGTGTCCCAACTGCATTGAGGAAGGTAATAATGGTAGGGATGTAAACGGCTCCCCACCTTGGCACTTCAACTTCAGGTATTAACACAGTAGCAGGGAGAACGATGCAGTAGAAAGCAAAGGTAACAACATGGGCTATGACCTTCCTGACTATGAAGAAGCTGTATATCACATGTACCTTCTTCCACAACGAAACTTTCTGCAAAATATTGAACGCTGAAGTCTTCCTCTCAAGAAAGAATGATTATTTGACAAGAATATCATGAGGAAGATACCTACCTCGTTTCTTATGATCTCCAATGCCATTTTTCTAAACAAGTTAGCAGGGCCGCAGGACCATCGATGTTGCTGGAATCGGTATGCTTTGAAGGTACTTGGAAGTTCATTTTTCACCTGTATCAACATCATTGCATTAGTTTTCTCAAAGAACTTTTATTGTTGAAAAATGAGCTGAAAACCTGAATGCAATACTTTCTGATGAACTAGGCTTACGAAACTACTGGGATCATTCACACCCTTTGACCTTATTCCCCTAGTTCCATCTTACAGTTCACACAATTCCGAACCTAATTCATAGGGGATAAGCACATTAAGTAGCACCGATTCTTTATGACTTAAAACGATACCTGGAGATCACCAAGGTATAAAAACTTCCACCCCTTCAGACTAGCTCGAACAGCAAGATCCATGTCCTCGACTGTTGTCCGATCTTTCCACCCCCCTGCTTCATTGATAGCTGAGATTCTCCATACACCAGCTGTGCCTGCATTTCTCGCATTTATGACTTGTGAGCATGGTAACTTGTTGATCAACTATTGAAAATTTAATCAAAATTCAACCTTTGCTACTTTGTGAAACAATGTTAGTTCATAGTGCTATGATTCTGTTCTGAAGTCTAACAGTATATGCCATGGTAAGATTTTTACTTGGGTACTCATAGTTCTTTACGTATTCATATTCTATGTATAAGAGATGAGTATGATAAATAAGTATAAGAACCTTTCCAACATATCAAAAGTCAAGATATAAGATAATATTTGACTATCATTCCCCAATTTATTTCAATTTTTTATTTATCATTCCCCTATTTATTTCAACTCTTTCTTATAGTGTACTTATTTAATTTTGGCACCAAGGCGTCAACAAAAGATGATATTCAAAGGTTATCAAGTTCCCATGAACACTCATCAAGTATTTGGGAAAATACGACTTCCATACATATATATATCCGTCCCCTGTTAGTCCCTTATGGACAAATTTTAGTCCCAAAATATTCATCCTATTTGCCTTTTCCAACAACTATCAATATTAATTTTGGACATTTTGTAAGAAACTATCTTTTAAAGCAATTTTTTTTTGCGAGAAACTACCTTATAAAAAATGTTGTAAAAAACTACCTTATAAAAGCTAAATGTTGTAAGATACTACCCTCAATCGGAAAGTGAGAGTTGACTAAATTTTTCCGGCGTTGACCAAGTCATGTGCCGGTCACATGACATTTAATTCATCTTGGTATTATATGGATAGGCTCGGGGAAAATTAGGGGAAAAAATGGGGAAAGATGAATTAAACGTTACGTGACCGGCACATGACTAGGTCAACGCCGGAAAAATTAAGTCAACTCTCACTTTCCGACCAAGGGTAGTATCTTACAACATTTAGCTTTTATAAGGTAGTTTTTTACAACATTTTTTTTATAAGGTAGTTTCTCGCAAAAAAAATGCTTTAAAAGGTAGTTTCTCACAAAATGTCCATTAATTTTTACCAAAATTCCCTCCAATTTGCAACAATATTTGTGCAAATTTAACTTTCCCATGTAAATTTTGTTTTCCCACGTAATTTTATTACTTTCTCTCTACTTTTTTGCATACCCAATGTCAATTACTTTTTCAATGTAGTTTAACTATTCTAATTTGTGTTTATCAATTCTCGTGAAAAATGCCCATAAGAGACTATCAAAAGAGAACGGAGGGAGTGTGTGTATATAAAGTAGACCAATTTCAATATTGGTAATTGGTAAGTAAAGGTTGGTAAATTAAATCATGACCACAAAAATGCTATCTAATTTGGGAATTGTGTGAAAATACATTGGTTAAGGTTTAGTACTCATAGAATTTATCTTGAAAAGAGTAAAGTGAGGTTACCATTAAAGCCAAAGAAAGCATAGGTAGAAGATCCAACTTCTTGCTCCACGGTAAAGTGATAGTCCAATGACATTTCTTGCATTCTTGTCATCAAACACTCGTCAGAATTTACTGCCAAAAAATATGTAAAGGGTAAATTTTAAAACTATTGTAACAATGTAAATAAATAATACACAGTATGAATAATATCCGGGTGTAAGATGCATTCAAGCTTAATTTTTGCTCATTTGATGATTAAATGAGCTAGAATTATAAAATCAGTTTACATTAGTTCTTCAACTAATAATCATTGTTCGGATTAATATGAAGTACGGAATAAGAGATCATATTTACAAATTAGTGACTAACAAAACTTAATTTAATATTGAAAAACAAGTAATAGAAGTAAAATTAAATTTTAATTACATTTAAAAAAAAGTTAACAAATGATTAAATTAATTCGAGATAAAAGGAAATTAGTTTTTGTGAATAAAAAGTGAAATGCTAAATACCGCCGCCCAAATTTATCTTCACCGCCATCATTTCGAGCAAACTGACAATTTTTCCCTTACTAAACCCAAACCCATTTTTCACCCTTATTTTATTTTCTCTCTCCTCAAACACCAACCATCCACCTTTTTTTTACCACACAACCTCCACAACCACATATTTGGGGTTTACCGGGAAGCAATTGGCGGCGAGCTCAGGCAGTGGCGGTGGCGCGATCTGAGGCGGTGGAGGCGACTCGGACTTAGACAGCAGTGGTGCGACATCTATGGAGGAATGGGTGAAAAGGAGGTAAGTAATTTCCGGGGTTTTATTTATTTTTTATTTATGAAATAAGTGGCCGGTAACCGAAGGTGAAAACCGATAGCCAACACCGGTAACCGGCGACAAAATCCGATTGACCGCAACCGGTAATCGGTTTTCACCTCCGGTTACCGGTGGTGGGAAATCGGTTTTCACCTCCTGTTACTAGCCACACCATATTTTAATTTTTTTTTTAAGAAAATTGAGCAAATTTTGAATTAGGCTCCGATTACCGTCCATGGTAATCGGTTTTGGCCTCCGGTTACCGTGGAAAGTAACCGGAGCCCAAAACTAGTTAACGTCCACGGTAACCGGAGGTCAAAACTGGTTACCGTGGAACTCTGGTTGACCCCTGATTCTCTTTTTATAGAGCCACCTCGATCACCATCCGTTTCTTGTCGACTATCGCCGTTATTGTGGATGTTAGGTGTAGAAGGTGGTGGTTGATACGGTTGTGGTTGATGGACTAATGGTAGAGAATAAAAATGAGAAAAAATTCTTGAAATGATGGCGGTGGCGATAAATTTGGACGGCAGTATTTTTTTTAAAAAAAAAGGACAGTTTTTTTAACATAGAGTGCCTATATTTTTTAATAAATGGGGACTATGAGAGGTCTCGATCACATTACTTTTTAAAAAAAAAAAAAAAAAAATTACTCCAAAATATAAGCTATCATAAATTCCTAGACTTTAATTTTCCCTTGATGAGCCAGACAATGGTAATCACTAATCACTGAAGAAATTTCCCAAGCACATGGAGCTAGCTGTATGTCTGTAACTACTTAATAACATTTGATAAATTGAAATGACAGATTTGACCTTCATACTTGATTTTGGTCCATACTTTTTTTTTTTATTTTTATTAATTTTTATATTTTGGTTCTAAGTAAAAAGAAATGAAGGAAAAAAGGGAGCATGTGGGTCAATTGAAACAATTTTTTTTGGAACAATCTATATACTTCTGCAAGTGTAAGTCTTACTCATGGGATATATTCATATTGCCATTTCATAACTTTAAAGCAGGAAAAATATATTTCATGTTACAACTTTATCTTTCTATTAATTGCTTAGAAAAATCTCGAAAAGTAAAAAGAGTTACTTGGTGTATCACCTTGCTATATCATGGAGTGTTTCATTAGAAATCTAACAAATCTTCTATCATTGGAAAAGTATTGTTGAGATTCAAAGTGTTGTAAAATGTATTAGTAGTGTCCCTCTCAATTCTATAGGATCCTACGACACAAACAATAACACTTATTCACCAAGCTAAGCTTGGTCTAGTGGTAAGATTTTCACTTTCCAATCTTGAGGTTTGGGGTTCAATCTCTAGTAGGGACACTTTGAGGTTGGAGATCCCTTACCCTTACCCCTTACTTTTAAAGTGTCTGACCTGTAAATACCGAACCAAAAAAACCTTGACGGTTGAGATACGGTCAAGGCTTTTCTCCTTACCTTAAACAAAAAAACTAACAGTTATCTGTTTTGTTATGATGATCCTCGTGATTCATTCTATTGCCTCACAGTGATCTTATGTCTAATCATTAATTTGAAAATATTGCTAACTAACAAACTAATACAACTACGATAACAATATTAGAGACTAGTGCTTATGTTTTGAATCAATTTCCCTCATGATATAATGCAATTTTTTGTATACATATCCCTAAAAAGACACCATAAACATTAAATACAGTGTATTTTCTTTATGACAAAACTAAGAGTTGATTAATGTTAGTAGTAGTATAGTACTCCATGGAGTTCATCCTTAATGTTTCCACTCTTAACTTTTGGATAGCCCTTAGCCCCTTAGGCCTCTTAAGAATACAAATTATTTTACGAAGTGTTTGGGCCCAATTTAGCTAATTGGGCCTAGTCATTAAATGATCCAATATTCCAAGGTCAAGGCCCAAGCCTCCAATTAAGCCAAGTCAACAATAAGTCAATTGGTCCATATTGTTATGGTCAGCCCATGGTTATTTGGGGCCCGATCATTCTCCTCTCTTTGTATGCTAAGATATAAAATCCTTCAATTACATTATTTGTCATTCATTCATATACACACATAAAGCCTCAAGCATTAAATCTCTGGTATAGCTTTCTCTCTCTAAACACTGTTTGACTTCGGCATCGGAGGGGTCTTCCTCGGATCCACCCCCGAGGTCAGTTTACGTGTGTTTGCTGTGCAGGAAACCTTCGGCCCAGCATCACTTGGACCGGATTAGTCTTCATCCACTTCATCGGACCTTCGGCTAAGTCCCATTGTTTCACCCGAAACAATTTGGCGCTGTTTGTGGGGAAGACTTTCAAAAAATCTTTAAGCCAATCAAAATCATCTTGCAAAAATCTTAGGAGCAATGGCTAAGAACCGCAAGAACAAAAGACTAAGTCAAGGAGCGGGCGAGAGGCCTAAAACTCCTACACCATCACCTTATCAAGAGCAAAAGCATAAACTGGTAGAAAATAGTGATCTCATAAATCTGAAGGGCAAGCCTTCAAATCTCTAGGGGGGCAAGAGGCACAACAGGTGGAGACGACCTCAGCTGAGACCTCTTATCTGAAGCTTTGTACTTAGCAAAAAAAAAAAAAAAGAAAAAGAAAAGCAAGTTTAAAGCAAAGCAGTATGAGGGAAATGTCAAATGCATAGATACAAAATCATGCTCGTATTACGAGCTACAAAGCATAAATGTTCAAGCAAACTAAAAGACAGTATCGGTAGCCGCCCACAAGCGGAAAATAACAGCTGCCGAAATGCGTATAAGGCAAAAAGTAAATAAATTTGTACACCAAGGCAAGCTGAAGCAAAAACAAAGGCAAAAAACAGTCAGAAGCGGCATCCATCATTTTAAGAGCACGTTGATCCGCAAGATTCTGAAGACGACTGCCTGAGTCCCTAGGCTTCAGCTGGAAGATCAGGCATCCCAGCGAGGGTGGAGTCCGGCGCGGCGTCAACCCCAGCTGCTGAAGAGGCAGGCTGAGCCGAATCCTGGACCTCAGCTTCCTTCGTCTCAGCTTCTCTCAGCTCAGCCTCCTCCATCTCAGCATCCTCGGCCTGGAGGCGGGCTAGCAGATGAACCTCAGCCTGACTGGCTTGCTGCATATGAGGGTCCTTGGGGTCTTCAGCCCAGACCTCGCATTGATACCAGTCCAGATCAGGCGCAGCATGAAGAGCCAGCCTCCGAGCCACCCCATAGCCATTGAGGTAGGCAGTCGAATACTCCTCCTAGGTGTAAACCCTTAGGGCTAGCTGAGCCTCAGCGTCGGCTAGCTTCTTCTGCGCCTCTTCTAGGGCTTTTTGGGAAGACTCTCGCTTCTCCTTCAACTGAGCCTCGGCATCAGCAAGCCTCTGCTCAGTCTGCTCGACCTTCTCACGAGCCTGAGAAAGGTCTTCCTCCTAGTTCTTCAGCTGAACCTCCAGGCTGGTGATACTCTGCCACTGAGACTCTAGCTGAATCCCGGCCTCGACCAGCTCCTTCTCCCTCATTTCGCAGGCTTGGCGGTGTTGTTTGGCGTCAGCCTCCAAGATCTTGAGCTTCTACTGAGATATCTCTTCTCGGGCCAGCCCCTGAGATTGGACCTCAGCGTCGATTTTGTGCTGGATCTTGGCTTTAAGGTTGGGAACGTCAACTGCACCGAAGGCTTTGAGCAGGGCCTCACCCTCATCTATCTGAGGCAAGATATCCTTCTCCATTTCATTGCAGAAGGTGTTGAAGGAGTCGATCACGACCTTAGCCTTGTGCTCAGCCTTCTCCTGCTTCAGCTGGGCAAGCTTCGCCTCTGTCTCAGCAATGTCCACCCTTCCCTGGAGCGTGTCAATCATCTCACAGGTCAGGGTGTGGTTGTAGATAACCTGCGGAGCCAGAATGAAATTTAAATTATTATTATTTACAAGTGGGATGAACTGGAAATACTGAAGGGGCAGGATCTTGTTACATACCTGCATCAGCAGCCTCTGGTTATCTCTAGCTGGATCTGGTACTGAAGGACCGGGTTCGGCAATTCCAGCGGTTGCCCGAATAGACCACTCTCGGACTTGCTTCATTTCAGATAATTTGGAGCAACCGCCGAAGTAAGCTTCAGCACTTTCCCTGTGCCTCCCCCAGATCTCGGCCCTAATGCCATCTGGGATAGAGCACTTCTTAGCTGAGAACCCCATGTCCCCAGACTGAAAAGACTTGAAGGAGGGGAACGAAGTCGATGGAACTTCGTCCGCTTTATCGGGCTCAGTCGTTGCCCTTCCAGCCTGGGCTTCTTCAGCCCCGCCGAGAGGTTCACTGGTTAAGGCGTCAACCTCCCGTTGAATCTCATCAGTGAAGCCCCTAGGGGCCTCGTCTCCAGTAGTAGCCGCCTCTTCGGCTACTTTAACAACAACCTCAGGGAGCTCAGCAACACTCCTCTTGTTGGAAACCGCTTCAGGAACCCCTCCCTTGGGATCCGGAGTTCGCTGGTCCACCTCCATGTCAGCAAGTGGTGGAGGGGTCCTCGGCGGCGACGGGATTGGCGGTGGTGGCTGAGTCGGGGGAGGAGGACCCCATGTACTTCTCGGAACCCTGCCTCGGCCAGCAGCAGGTTCCCTTATTAACACGCCAGGCATCGGCCTCAGCGCAAACTCTCCCGAACCCATAACAGTCGGGCCCGTCCTCCTTCTCTTCCTCGGCTCCAGAGGCTGGTCGTCCATATCGTCGGAATCCAAAGATTCGAGTTCTGAGAGGTCGTCTGACGATACTGGAGCCTTCCCTTCTCTTCTTCTGCCCTCTTCCTCAGACTGCAGAAGTGGGGGGAGCAGGGAAGGATCAGTAAAAAAAAAAAAAAAAAAAACAAACAAACAAAACAGACGCTGAAGGACTTACCAAAGTCTTCGGCCGGACCTCGGCAGCCCTAGAGGTCCCCTCACCCCTTTCTAGGGAGTTGATGGCCCTAGTCACCTCTTCGGCAGCCTGAGCGGCGAGTACTTCCTCGGCTAGCAAAGGCCTCAGAGGATCCCATTTCTCCCACCAAGGCTTCTGCCTCAGATAATCTGCAGCAGCCTCGATCTGAAGGCCCGACGAGTGTAGGTGCAGAGGACGATCCTTTGGAGCAGTGATAGCTGGGGCTCGGTCTAAAATGACCATTTCAGCATTCAATCCCAGCCGATCGTAGTCAATGTTGGAAGTAGCCTCGCTCAACCTCTAAAAGGAGAAGTTTAAGGTTAGCTCTAGGATATGGACAAAACAAATAAGGCAATAACAAAATAAAGACCTCGGCCCCAGCCGAAGGTACTTACCCTCTATGCTTTCGGCTGAGGCCGACAACTGCCAACATCTTCTCTTGGAAGACGTAATGGTTATCGGGAAGCCATCGGGCTAGGATGGACTTCATTCAGCCAGTCCCCCCAGGATTTTTCTGCTTCCCGAAGAAGTTCATCTGTACGTAACTTGGATGGCTGGCGGCATCAGGGTCTTCTGGACCCAAATCTTGCATGTTCGGATCGGGCCTGGAGAGATAGCGAGGGACCCCGAAAAAGTAGGGATGCTCCGGATCAGCAGGAGCCCTTACCCAAATCCACTGGCCTCTTCAGTCCTTATCCGAAGAATCGTTCGGCCACATGGTCAAATATTGGGGATGACTCTCAATTCGCCACCAACCAGCCCCATGGTGACCATATACACTTTGGGTGTTCTGCACCAGCTAATGCATCCTTCGGAAGCAGTGCAGAGTCGGTTCGACAGCAAAGAACCTGCATACCCAGAGATAAGTCATCACCCGCCGAATACTGACGGGTGTCAACTGGCACAAAGAGATCTTGTATTTTATCAGAATGTCCCTGACGAAGGGATCCAAGGGGAACCGAATCCCGTACTGTAGTTGCCGAGTATATACCCCCACATATCCAGGGGGAGGGCGATGAATTCTGTCAGTAGGCGAAGGCATTTGGCACCAATACCCATCTTCTTCAAGGATGCCATAGTGTAATTCGATTTGTTCGGCAAACCGATAAGCTTCGGCGTACCTAACCCACCAATAATAAGGGATATTATCAATCATGGCTCTCTGGGCTTCGGCATCCTGCCATTCAACATACCCAGGTAGCAAATCCCATAGCGCAAGAGGCAGATCTTCCTCATGTTCGGCAGCTCCAGCCTCGGCACCCTGCTGAGGGGCAAGCTCAGCCTCAGCCCCTTGCTGAGGGGCAGCCGCGTTCAAGGGGACCGTCGGAATCCCCCTTTCCGGGTCTTCTGCGACGCGTTCCCCATTCCATACATTGGCACGGACCCTAGGGTCCCTGACCTGACCTCACCTCCCAGTCCGTCGACCTCTTAAGCGAGCCATTGATGAATTCGCAAGAAAGGAAGTCGGGAAAAGAGGAATTCTTTGAAAAAACTAAGAAAATCAAGGGAAATTCGAAGAAAATTACCTTTATGAGGATCGAAACTTGCCGATTCAATGGGTCAGAGCAGCGGGATCGAACGCCAAGCTTTGATTTCGGGTGTGGAAAGAAGTTTCAAAGCGGAAGCAATGGGTTTTCAGAGAGTTCGAAAATGAGTTGGTGAAGAAATGAGGAGAGAAATGGCGAATTTGGTTTATATTTTCAGAAAGGGGAATTTAGAAAGCCAAAATGCTTAAATTCTCTTAAAAGCCTCCTTAAGTAACCGTTAAACACTCCCTCTCTTAATTAACCGCCCATTATCCACTCAACTTCCCACTAATTATCCTAATTACAGTTATTTAGTTAATGACTGTTTAAAATTTAAATCTTTTGATTTAATTAAATCATTTACTTCCCTCCATTTTTACTGGGTTCAAACCCGACCCGTCATCCTTCCAACTCGGGTCTGGGGGGCAAGTTGTTTGGGTCCAATTTAGCTAATTGGGCCTAGTCATTAAATGATCCAATATTCCAAGGTCAAGGCCCAAGCCTCCAATTAAGCCAAGTCAGCAATAAGTCAATTGGTCCAAATTGTTATGGTCAGCCCAAGAATTGTGAGTAAGCGAAGTTACCAAACTTCCAACGAGCTTGAACAAGGGCAAGCTGAGGATTATGCATCAAAAAGGGAATTGTACGCCATAGAAAATCAGGTTCAGGTTGAAAATCGGCATCAAAAATAGCAACATAATCACAATTCTTGACATAATTATGCTTCATCCCTTCTTTAAGAGCTCCTGCTTTGTACCCATTTCTGTTGTCCCTGATCTCATACTTTATGTTTATTCCTTTGTTTGCCCATTTCTTGCATTCCATTGCCACTAATTCCTGCTCTCCCATAAACAAAATTCCAAAAAAAAAAAAAAAAAAAAAAGTTATGAACATTGTCATTGTAGTATTTTTCGTTTTTTAGTAAGTGGTAATAATCTTGTACATACTATTTTAAGTAAGATCAACTCAAGAAGTGTCATCTAAAGTGCTTCATCACTCTCCAGCTCTCTCAAAATTCTGTATACACTCCGTATATAAGAATTATGGTTCTCTATGACTTTGAAGGACATGAAGTAGGGGACAATCGCGATATTTTGAAATAATACTATCTGATTAATTTTAAAATAACCGAACTCATGATCTCCTAACAACTTCATCTTATTGAAATGGGGGGCAGACGGAGTGATATTCTTTTAAATTGAAAATTTTCATTTTTTTTTGACACGTACATTAATCTTAATAGCTAGTTGAAATACGAGTAATGTTTCTCGTAAATGCTTTCTAAGTAAAAAAAAAAAAAAAAAAATTAATCTCTATTATTTTAGGACAAAATTAGTCTCTATTTAGATGATGTAAGTTGTAATTGTAATTTTCTAATTTTTTTCACCACACATAAAAAGAATACCCTTGTAAAAAAAAAAAAAAAAAAAAAAAAAAAAATCATAAAAACAAAGATGAGATAATTCTAAAAATCGATTTTCCATAAATAAAAAGCCGTGGTGCACGGTTGCCAAAAATCCAAAGTCTACACAGTTTGAGGTGCAAATTCTCCACGGTTGTAAAAAAAAAAATTTGAAAACTTTTAACCCCTTAATTTTATCTTGATTCTCTTTGTGAGGTAATAATATTCCATTAAATGTATTTTTACGGTTTTATACAAAAAATTAAATAGTAAATATATCAAGGAAAAAGCTAACCAGCATTCTAATCCCTTAATTTTCATACGAGTACAACATAGTCATATGATAGGAAAGTGAAAAAAAAAAAAAACCATCACTAGCTCACTACTTCACTAGTCTACTGTACTACTAGTGTAGTACGGAATAGTACCTTGATTGTTGAGTCAGTTGAATCATCCAAAACTTGAATTATAATTCGATCAGACGGCCATGAAAGTCCACATGCTGTTCCAATGGAGAGCTGATACACCTGCATAATTAACCAAAGTTACATACTCGAACTCAAAGGTGCATCTTAAAGACCATGAAAAATCAAATGGGACGAAATCACAAAATTAAGAAAAGGGGATAAAGAAAATTTCATACAGTACCTCTTTTTCATTGTACATTGGTATTTGTACAAGAACCATAGGATATGCTGAGCTACCAAGCTCTACATCATCTTTAATAGTTTCCCATTTATACTTTTTTTCTGGTTTTTTCCCATACATTTTCACCAAAATTATCACAATTCCCATATAAACTCTCTCTATAAACAACATTATTGACATTCCCAAACAAATAATGACTGCTAATTTTAGAATTGGAACAAAAATGGGTGTTTTAATTTGATCCCAAATTAACCCAATTTGCCCTGTTACATCATCTCTCTGCTTTAGCAGACCTTCTGGAAAAAGAAGCTCTTGATTTGATATTTTTTCCATTTTTCCGTCAAAGCGAAAAAACAGAGGAAGATAATAACAGGGGATGATGTTTTTTTGTTGAAATGCTGAGATTTAAATATGATGAGAAAGAAAAATTCTCTGTTTTTCTAGATTTGTTTCTTCAGGACCACGCAAAAAAAATTGTTATTCGAAATGGGGTTGTCGGCACAATTACAGAAAAATTAGCACAAATTGCAGTTTGAATTGAAGGAAACCACTCATTTGATAAAACATGGAAAGAAAAGCTAGAAAAAAAGAGGGAAATAAAGTTTAAAAAGGAGGTTTTATTCTTGAGTTTTTATAATAAAAAAAAATGAATTAAAGTGGAAGCTGCTTCTGTAATCAAATGAAAAACAGAAGCAGTTCCAAAAAATTACAAGAAATGAGAAATGAAGTTGTAAGATTGTTTAATGTGTTAATGAAATTGAGAAGAAGATATAGAGTATTTATATGAGGTTCCCCTGTTTTTGCTCTTTTCTACCTAACACATATACCTTCTGTTTGGGTCCAATTTAATCCAATTGGGCCTAGGCATTAAATGATCCAATTAAAAGTCAAGGTCAAGGTTCATCTCTCCAATTGTGCTAAAGTCAAAGATCAGTCCTCAAGGCAAGCCAATTGGGCTAAGGCCCAACTTCTCCATGTATGCAGAGGTATAAAAGTCATCAATATTACATTTGTACATTGATTCAAGCAAAGCCTCAAGCAATTAATTCTCTTGCATAGTGTTCTCTTTCTACACACTGTACTGACTTTAGCATCGGAGGGGCCTTCCTCGGCAACACCCCCGAGACTAGTTTACGTGTGTTTACTGTGCAGGAAACCTTCGGCCCAACATTACTTGGATCGAATCTAGCCTTCTCCACTTCATCGGACCTTCGACAAGGTCCCATTGTTTTCACCCGAAACAATTTGGCGCCGTCTGTGGGGAAGACTTTCAAAAATCTTTAAGCCAAATTTCTAACCAAGATCATCTTGCAATAATCTTAGTAGCAATGGCTAAGAACCGCAAGAGCAAAGGCCTCCGTCAAGGAGCAGGCGAAAAGCCTAAAACCCCTACACCATCACCCTCGCCGGACCGGAACTCTCCCAAGGGTGCCAGCTCGGGGGGAGGATCATACAGGGAGGATTCCCTTTCTCCCGTAATTCATAACTCTCATCATAGGCCGAGTCACTCTCGGTCTAGCAGGGGTGAGTCCGATCATAGGACACATTCAGTGCCCCAAAGCCAACCATCGACTGTGCGCTCTCATTCCCATACTCGGCCGAGGACCCCTTTGGCGGGGCCCAGCTCGGAGGAGGTGGCAAGAGCGCTGGCAGTGCTCATGGAGGCAATGAGGGCACAAAATATGCCACCACCTCGTGATCGAACTCCTCCGCATACCCGGCATCAACGGAGGAAGCTAGACCGTGATGGTGGGAAGCTTCCTTCCTCCCGGGAACTGGGAGAGTGGGAAGCTTCCTTCCTCCCGGGAACTGGGAGAGTGGGAAGAGGATACCTGGAAAACTGAAAAAGAGAGGAAAAAGAACCCTCAATTTTTCAAAGGATCCTCATCCTTCCGACCAATAACGCATAAGAGCAGCAGCTCAGCTTCTCGGCCAGAATCTACTCACCGAGAACGACCTGAGACTGTTCGCCGAAGCGTCCTCGACCGACTCGGCGGCAAGGAACCGAGCGTGCACAGTCGCCTCTCGTTCCCTGCGGCCGAGGCCCAGACTTCCCAGCCAGGGACGAAAACCACTCCTACCTCTCTAAGAGGGCGGAGCGCGGTCCCTTCGGCCAGGAACAAGGGCAAGGTCGTTATGCTACCCGCCAGTTCGCCATTCGAGCAATGGATACTGGAAGAGCACGTGCCCACGGTTAAAATACCGTCGCACATCACATATGACGGGACCTCGGATCCGAAGGACCACGTGGCCTCGTATGAGACTCATATGCATCTTTGCCCCAGATCCGAAGCGACTTGGTGCAAATATTTCCCAACCACTCTCAAGGGGGTCGCGCAAGCGTGGATCTCCAAGGGAGTAAAGCAAGGCTCCATAACAGGGTGGGATGATCTGTCCTCCAAATTTAGGAGCAAGTTTTCCACGGCAAACCGCCGAGAGAAGACTACTGCAGAACTCATGAGTCTGCAACAGGGGGAAACCGAAAGCCTCCGAGACTATCTGACCCATTTCAGTAACGAGTCATCCAGCGTCTCTCAGCTGGACCAGGGGCTAGCCGTTTTTGCAATGCAGAATGGCCTTCATCCCGGGAAGTTCCTAGACTTCATGGTCATGCATGCCCCGCAGACCTTGGAGGAAGCTCTGAATGCCTCGGATAAGTTCATTCGAGCCGAAGAATGGAACAAAGCGAAAACCCAACCTCAATTCGGGGGAGGGAAACAAAGACAAATACCCTTGTCTGAAGGCCAAGGCCATAAGGCAAAGGGAAAGTCAAAGGCCTCGGAGCAATCTTCGGCCAGCGACCCAAAGAAGGAAAAATCTGCCTCATACACAGGCAGATACGAGTCCTACACTCCGCTCTCTCTTCCACGCACCAAAATTTACAGCGTGACGAAGGAGGATCAGAGTTACCGAAAGCCGAGACCACTCCCAGAGTGGTATCAGCGAAAAAATAAAAATCAGTGGTGCGAGTTCCACGAATCTCCGGGACACAACACTGAGGAGTGTATCCAACTGAAGGACCAGATAGAGGACATGGTCCGGAAGGGATACTTGAAAAAATACATTGCGGATCACCGCGAGAAAAAAGAGTCTGAGAATTCAGCAAAGGACTCTCGGCAAGACCTCGACTTCCCCCGGAAGAACAGTAAAACGCCGGAGGGGAAATTCTCTCCGATCAATGTTATCTCGGGAGGAATATGCTCTCGGAGGGAGCACAAGCGACACCTTAGGGCTTTGACTTACCAGGTGAACAACGCTGACATTCAGTCTCCCCAATTGCCGGTGCCGAACATGACGGTCACAGCCGCCGACTGCCGGGGGATAACGTT